AATAATTAATTAATTAATTATTGGTCACATAAAAATTATGTCCCCACAGGTAGTAAATTGTGAATAAATTTATTATGTGACGATTTCAAATATGTGAAAACTCAACATGTTTTTTGCTTTATTAAATTTATCTTGTGGAAATTATTTTAATTTATTATTTTCAATTAAATTAAATTTATAATTTATATTTTTTATTTAATATATAATTTTAAATTAACGACAATAAAAAAATTATTTAATATATAAATTAAATTTTCAACAGCACTAAAAAAATTTAATTTATAAGGTCATAATTTATAATTTATTAATTTTAAATTAACAACACTAAAAAAATAATTTATAAATGTTCAAAAGATTATTTTATCCTTTTTCAATTGTTTATTAAGTAATAGTATGAGGGTAAAATATACATTTCACACATTAGTCCCATGGGATACCAATCTCATAGAAATAATCTCACTCCTCCCCTTAAGATACAATAATCCCTCACATGAGGGACTATTAATCCAAAATAAAAAAATTGAACAAAATAATGAACTATTAATCTGGATGGACTCATAGTCTAATCTCATGAAACAATCCCTCAAAACAAACACACTCTACTAATATTAATACAACTATTTATATATTATATTTTCAAGATCTTGATCAAATATAAGAAATATTTTGATTATTATAAATAAAATAAAATAAAACAACTATAAAATTGATTATGGAAAATATATCACGTGATCCACGCATATAGTCCATTCCATATTTTGGTTTGGTTTTTTAAAGATTGAATTCCATGTGCTGCATATACATGCATGCAAGAGAGACGCCTGGAAAGCGTCTGGCTTCCCTCCGATCCTAAATTAAATTAAGCGTGTTATTAGGCCCGTGGGCAATCATTATGGGTTTCGTTTCGAATAATTCGAATTATTTAATGTGTAAAATTTATTGAGTCTTATATGTCTGTAAAAAATCACATTGATTGAATATCGATATCTATTTTATCGGATTAGTTTTCTGTCAATTATTTATTTTTCATCTTCTATTTTTTTTATACAAAATTGATTTGGTCATATAGCTATCGATATCTAATCAACTTAATTTTTTACAAACAAATAATATTCAACAAATTGTACATATTAATCAGTTTGAATTATCAAAATGAAACCGTTGGGAACCTTTACAGGTTCAATAACATTCTCTATTTTGATCTGAGACTAAAAAGAAGCCACTGCCATCTGGAAAAAAGGATCGTGTGTGGTTTGTGTCCTTCAACTTTGTACTTTTTACTAAGGTCAAGTTTGGCATATATAAAATAATTTATCTTTTTATCTTTTTTTCATCACATCACCTCTTTACTTTTTTACACATCTTTTTATAAAAAGATAAAAAATACACTTATTTCGATCATCCAAAACAACCCCTAAATCTTTGACAAACATTTATCGTTCCACCTACTTGCTTGGTGGAAAGACTCAATAATTATACTCAATAATTATACTTCCACATAAACCTTTTTCAATAATAAAAATTAATTTTTATAACCATTACTAAACACGTCGATTTTCTTTATTTAAGAAAAATACAAACACGTATGTTGGTCTATTTTGATAAATAAGTTACAAATTAAATTTTTTTTTTAATAAAAAAAGCAAAAGAAAAAGAAAAGATAAAAAGACTTAAAAAAGCAAAATAAAAAATAAAAAATTTAAAAACTGACCTTTAACTAACTTCTCAAAATAGGCCATTGTTGTCCCATCTTTTCTATTATTGTACATTTCATATTGGTATGATTTAGACTTTATTATTTTGAAAAATATTGATCAATTTTCATTTTATTTATTTATTCTAAATTTATAAATTTTTTTAAGGTTTCTCGAGCTTAAACAAAAATCAAATTTGAAAAAAAAAAATCAATATGAGAAAAAAAAGCCAATTTTTGTTATTTTTTATTAAACTTAAACCAAATGAAACCTTGGAGTCTTTCTAATATAATTAAATGTTCAATTTAATATAAATCTTCTAATAATTTATGAAAAACACACTATAATTCATGTAGCAAATGTGACACCCATGCCCAATTAGAAAAGATATGCAAGTGTATTAATTGTTTATGGGAAGAAATTAACCATTTAATTGCAACCACACTTTACCGACAACTAAAACTAAAGATAAACAACAATTACTTGAAAGCTTACTTAAAATTTAAAATTTACAAATCAGATTCATTGTTCGTATGATCACAGAGTATACTTTGTTTGGATTTAAAATTTCTTATTAAAATATGAAGTCTTGGCAGCGTACTTTTTGACTTTTTATGAAATATAAATTGAATTTAAAGTGATATGTTAAAGAGGTGATATCACTTAAATAAGACGACGTGACTTAAATATGATAGTAACTTTTTAACTTTTTGACTTTTTTCAAACATGCCAAACTAATTCAATTACAATTTCATTACAAAAAAAATACCAACTTAAAAAAAAAAACACACATAAAATGTTAACAAATTACAGATTAGTCCGCAGATCTGAGAGGAGAGAGATTACTTTTTCTTGCTTTGAGCAAACAATGAAAGCTCCTTTTCCTTGCTCTTCTTCAGTTGATGCTTGATCTTCTCTGTTTCTCTTCAACTTTTGCTCAGTGATTATTCTCTTTCTCTCTATCTCTCCTGTGATCTCATAGATCTGCAAAATCTGCCATTATTCTGATCTAATTTTTCTTTTCCTTCAAATTATATTTTCCTTCAAAACAAACAGAGCAAGCTAAAAAACAGAGCAATGGTGTAGAAAACAGAGCAAGTGGTTAATTGTACAGAGCTAGACCCAGGTGGTGGAGGGCTATGATAGTAAAACGGAAAGTAAGGCACAATTGGGTTCGGCGGTGGCGGCGTCGGGAAGTTCCGGTACGGCGGAGGTGGGTACAAGCCGCCCATACCACCGCCACCGCTAGATGGCTGCGGTGGAGGGTAGGAATAGGTGGTGGGCTGAGAGGGAGGCGGCGGAGAGTAGTAGAAGGTGCCGGAGCTGGGAGGGGACGGCGGCGGGGGACAAATGGAGGAGGGAGATGAGTGCGGCGGCGGCGGAGGAGATGGAGACCGCGGGGGAGGAGGGGATGGCGGCGGCGGAGGGGGGAGGAGTGGAGTGTTGCATGGGTTGTCGCAGGCGGAGCACATTGTGCATTCGATTTGGTACTTTGAACCAACCCATGAATTTGCGAATGCTTGTGAGAGATTTGTTGATGTTGAGACGATGAGAAGAGAGAGAAAATAGAGTCTGAATCTGTGAATTGATTCCATTTTTGTGATGTGAAATGTATGAGTTTGTGCGGATTGAAGAGAATTGGAGAGAGTTTTTGGAAGATGATGAGGAGGAGAGAGAAGAGTGAGGGAAGAGAAAGGGAGAGAGTAGTGAGTAGGGGCAGTGGAGGAGAGCGTCATTCTCATATATGGTATGAGGGTCCCTGTACTGGTGATGGGTAGGCTCCTATCTTTGACGCTGATGTTGGAAAAGTTTATTATTTTAGTCGGGATTTTTAATTTTTAATTATTTTAATACGTTAAAATTTTTGGCCTTGTTTGGTTTGTGTTTCTAAAAAATTTTTGAGAAAAATTCTCTACAAATAAGTTTTCAAAAGTAATCAAACTAAACAAATTTTCCCAAAATTTTTTTCCAAAACTTGTTTGGTTTACAAGTTTTCCAAACAAATCTCTCTCTCATACACATCAAATCAATCACTTTTTCTAAAACTCTCTCTCAAAATAATTTTCCAAAACATCTTTTGAAAAAAACCAAACCAAATAACTTTTCGTACTTTTTATCTCTAAAACTCATCTCCCAAACTCAAACCAAACATACCCTTTATGTTTTGAGAGGTAATTAATTTTTTTTTTATAGATAGATATCATTTGTAATAGAAAAAATAAAATGATTATGAATTTAATGTAATATTTTATTTTATTTTATTAATTATTTTATTTTATTTTATTATTATTTTTTTGTGAATTTTAACTCAAAAAATAAAAAAATAGCCTTTGCCAAACAAGGTCCATATTTCTCTTTTTTTTAATTAATTTTAAATTCTTTTCTTATTTGAATTATAAATTTAGGTAATAATTTAAAAGGAACAAAAATGTGTGATATTATATATAAGTAAAATATAATTCATCTTTTTTGTTTTTTAAATTTTTACCTAAATTTATAATTTAAACGTAGCATTAACAAAAAATTACTTCATTTATCTGTAAATATTAGTCCCTTATTTTATTTTTCATTATTCTAAAATATTAATCTATTTTCAAAAATTAAGGACTAAAAGAACATGAATTTCTTATTTTATCTTTTTAAAATTCATCAATAATATTTTTTAAGTGTAATAATTGTACTATTAAAGGATAATTTTGAAAAAATAATATTTTTGAAGTGTAATAACTGTTTTACTAAAAAAATTAGATTCTTCAAAAGAGACTAATATTTTAAGACAGAGTGAGTAATTTAAAAATTGAAACTCAGTTTTTAAAATTTGTTTTGTGTAATGTTACAGAGTCTAAATTGACCCCAAAAAAACAAAAAAAAAAAAACTTACCACAAAAAAAATACCAAGTGTGAACTAGATTATTTAAAGTGTGAAATTTATATATAAGATTTAAATTTGGACCACATAATTTCTTTCGTTATATTTTTATGTGGGTAGTTTGTTGGTTTCTAACCTTTCTAAGACCTGAAACATTACCAAAAAAAAATTATGAAATATAATTTTACCAATACAATTTTATTGAGACTGATGTGGCATTAATTTTTTATTTAGATTGATGTGGCATTAATATTAAATTGAGTGAATATTAATGTCTCTTTGATTTATATATTATTACTTAAAAATTATTAAATATTTAATTTGATTCACACTTTATTCTTATTTTCACTACTAAAATAAGTAATATATTTTCAAAGAGACATTTTTTTATTTGAGATGTCAAAATATATTATATTAAAATTAAAATAGTAAAGTAATGTTTAATAATAATTGAGAATGAATTACTGAATAATTTTTCATTTACAAAAATGGTAAAAAAATTATAGATCTCTTTTGGAAAGTAAGTTAAAAACTACTTCTTAATTTTTAACTAATTTTAAATCACATTATCTCTTATATTTTTTACATATTTTTTTAAAAATAAAAGAAAAATTAAAAAAAAATCATCTTTTAACTATATTTCTAAAATACTCCGTAATTAGTAGCTTTGGTCCAAAATGATACCGTTACACCGACCTCGACCTGTCCTGCCACGTTTTACACCTTTTTTAATTTAACAGCTCCAACCACATTTCGACACGTCAATCCATCAATACTTTAACAACAATGATGGAGACCACTAATTTTAGAGTTCTAAAAAGACCACTAATGACATGACACTCAATAAAAAAAGAAAAAAAATACAACACTAAGGCCAAAACATCAAATCATTCCTGGTGGAGCCCATTACCACATCATTAATGATAGCACTAATTAGTGCTCCCATTCATTTTCCATACTTTAACCAAGGTTAATTAATTTCATCAACCCTATAGAATTCGGCGACAATTTCTTAAACATTTTCTCATACGCATACACGTCGACAAAATAAGAAATCTGGGCGTATATCTCTTTTGGCCCGTTTGTTTTCGGTATAAAATGGAAGGGAATCATAATAAGAAAATTAATAGTGAGGGGTTTGATAGTGAAGAATTAATAGTGAGGGAATTGATAGTGAAAAGATTAATAGTGAAGAATTGTTAAATTATTTTTATATAAAATAATAAAATAAATAAAAAAATATAAAAAAGTAAACATTATATTTCAAAAAAATTCCCAATATATAAAAAATAAAAAAATTTCTAATCCCCTCACTATTTTTCTAATACCATCTCTATCTCCTCCTTACCAATTCTTCTTCCTCCTCCTTACTAATACCAAGGGATTACTAATCCCTTCCCTATCTCTCAAAATAAACACCTCATTTTTAATCCCCTTCTCACTACCAAACTCAGTTCCCTCCCTATAACCCCAAACAAACGGACCTTTATTTCAATTCTACATGCATTATTAAATTTTTTTTATTTATTATTTACTTTTATCTACTCACTCCGCCTGTGGTGGTTGACTCCACTCTCAACTCGGGGTGAACAAATGTCAGATCGAGTTATGTTTGGATAGGATCGATATTATATAATAAGAAATTTTATATATATCTAAATTTAATTTAATTTTAATATCTGATTTTTATATTTAATCAAATTTAGTTTAAAATATAATTATAAATTTTGAATTTAAACATCGAATTATATGTTAAATTTTTTTTAAATATTTCATAATTAAATTTAATCATATATTATATTTCTTAAATAAATATAAAGATTTTGCATATACATTGAAAAATTTCTTAACTACATTCTATCATACATCACCACAAATGTAAGTTTAATATTTCATAAACAAATAATTAATTAATTAATTTAATAGTGGCCAGGTTGGATTGAAAGTATAAATCTCAAACTCAACCCATTAATATTTCGAGCTGAAAATGTTGATTTACCCCAGCCCTATGAACTAAAATAATCTTCCCAAACCTTAGAAAAATAAGATTGGGTTGGGCGGGCTAACGAGCTGACGTCTACCTCTACTCTCAATCCTCCGTTGACATTATCACCACCACTCTCAACTCGTCTCCTTCTATCCTAGATTTCCACAGTCAACCTCAAAAGTTAATGGTTTGCGGGGAATGACTTGTGGACGTGTATGGTTCATAAAGGAAGGTAGTTACAAACGGAGAAAGAAAAAGGTGACGGGAAGAGAATGACGGAGGAGAAAGATGGCATTGGTGATGAATGATGGTTATTGAGAGAGGAAAATCCAATGAGCAGAATGGGCCGAGCTATATATGTGCTTGATCGAGAAGTGTGGGTTGAGCTATGTGTGCAACTGAGGAAAATTTACACCGAACAAAGGACCAGACTACATGTGGAATGGGCAGACTTAAGGATAGTCCGAGCTAATGACACTGTATGGACTGAGCAATATTTGGCCCAGCAGCGGTTGACCGGTTGGACAACTCAGAGCTGAGTCGATTGATGGAAGTTAATAAACGGTCTTGTGCTGAGTTATGGGTAGCACGACAGGAGTCACTTTATGGCCCAATTGGAGTGTGAGGAGAAAAACCCGCTAGTAGTTGTGTGTCAATACCATTTGGTGGTTTGGCCAAATGTTGTTTGGTAGTATTAACGCATACACGTGTAAGGAATAGAGAGGGCAGTACAACCACGCATCCAGAAAAGGACGAGCAGAGTGGTGCGCTCAGAAGCTATTTAAACTGTACGGCGCCTCCATACAACAAGTCTGGAACATCTGGTTATCAAAGCTACCTACTCCTTTGTCTCTCCCTCTTCTTCTTCTTCTCTTTTAGTGTACTAACTTGATCGTCGGAGAGTTTTTCCGGTAGCACACCGTCAGGTAACTCACTGTTTTGTGTTCCCAAGTCACTCAAAAAGAAGCGAAGCTTGGACACGAGGAGTACGAAAAACGATGAATAATTGCTCCTCGTACAATTGGCACCGTCTTTGGGAAGCTGACAGACAAAACTTTGTCCTCCAAGCTTTTCTGGTCATCTTTTATGGCGAACAACGACGACATTTCGCTGTTCGCCATCGACAACATCATGCCAGAGTCCGTTCAGCGCAGAGATGGTTTGTTCGCCATTCCAACGATGGTTGGTTTGGAGACCTCCGCGCGAGGACTTTCCAGAGATGCGCGAGACAAGTGCGCAAGGAATTCTGGGCGTTCTGTTCTGTCAGCCCACAAAAGCGTCGCCGACGGCAAGACTCACACACTCAGTACCAAGAAGACAGGCTGAGAGACCAAGATACCATCATCAAGAAGATGATAACAAAGATGGAGGCCATGAAACGCCAAATGAAGGGAAAGGACGTTGCTGGGGTGGGAAACCGCAGTGAGCACGTCCATTCTCGCCATTCTAGCAGTCAAAATAGACGCCGTCATGAGGAGCTTCAGAGCTAAAGACTACGTCGCGCTGGCGGCGACATTTCATACATAGGACAACAGTCACCACCCTTCACGTCCGACGACAGCGTTGAGATATTCATGTTCTGACTGTTCGAAAGACGTAAGGGATGTGTTGGAAAAGCACGCTCGCCGGTGGGAAGTGCAAAGGGTGTTTGCACTGCAGCGATTGGCCCCTAAAGGACGAGCCAATGAAGAGGTCGCTATGCAATTACCACGCTTGGCAGCACACGAGCCACCAGACAGAGAGTTAGCAAGGTTAAGCACCACTCTTTTTTCCGTAGAGATCGAGAAGACACCGCTCCCTTTTGGGTTCCGTCAGCCAAAGTTCACGCTTTATGACGGAATGACCAATCCGTACATGTACGTAAGCCACTTCCAACAGGTTATGGCTAGGCATAG